ATATAAAAATTAAAGAGACGTATTATGTAAATATTACAGAATGACCCTACAGGTATATAGTGTGCAAGTTTATATCAATCCCCCATAATACTTACTGCAACAAACTACTAGACACTTTCTTGTTTCTAATTCTATTCTTTTCTTAAAAAAAGATTTGTATTAGTGCCGATATGAAAATGTTATTAAGGAAAAAACTGGAAGTTTTTATGCCTGGCTCTGTGCCGTGGGTCGCTTAATAATTCTAGATAATCTACATGTACCAAGCATAGGTCATTAACATTATCACTTGACTTAAATTATTGTTTGATACCATCAGCATTCTTTAAAACTTGAGAGATCATGATTTTTAATATTATTTTCTATACAAATCCAAGTCTTGTTAGAAAAAATTGCAGTCTTGTTTGCTCATCTAGTACTTTATCCAGAGTCAAGCAGGCGCTGTGGGAATTGTTAGTGGAATTTTAGATCATCTGTCCATCACGGCATGGATCTTGTATAATAGTTTTTGAAGCCCCTTTAACCCTAGACTTTACTTTTGTACACCAATTTATTTCTTGATTTTGTCCTCGTATGTTTAAAAGTTTAGCCTTGCTCATGTTAGGCTCGTATTCGAATAAATAACTGTATTTTATTGACTACAAATAATTTCCAATTACTTTCTACGTTCATAGCAGTATTCATTAAGATAATTCGAAAACAAGATCAACTTTACGATAAGTTTGTCAAGTGTTTTTTCTCAATATTTTTAAACAATTTGGGTCAATAAGAAAACAAAAATTTAAAGTAACGCGCGACAACCTTTGACCCCCATCAGTAAAGTGGCTCAGTGGTACCAGGTTACATGGTATTTTAAATGTTAAGTTTGAAAATAAAATGCTCTGTAAGCTTTCTGTCGCAGAAACAAAAAGATCTACTTGAACACATCATGAATTGTATCAAAATCCATCGCAGTCACTTTAGCTTTCTGAGAAAAATATGGAACAAGTCTATTTATTTAGGATGGACAGTGTCACAGACAGACTATGGTAGTTAAAACGGCTAAAAAGTTAATCAAAATTACCTACGAAATAATACATACAGTAAATTATATGGAATTCGAGTTTCAAAGTTAATAAAAGAATGCCGCAAGTTATTCCTCGCATGTAGAATTGTAGTTAGGAGGTAGGTATCCGCAGGCCATTAATCATTTTTCATATAAAGTTTGCCAGCGAACGTAAACTTCATTACAGAACTCTGGGACGCTAATAAACTTATATTTTGTAAAGATAATTTTAAAGTAAATAAATTCAAATAAGGCTTACTTAAATAAGTTTAGCTCCATAATTTGATACTTAGCTAAGACCTTTCTGCTGCTCGGTGAATATCAGCACCATCACATCCATGACAAAGTATGTTTGACACAGTGGGCTTCTGTTATATCTTAGTACCATTCTACGTTTCTAGTTGACTACTAGAACCTACCAGTAACAATTTTATTATTTTTATATAAGTGTTAATGTTAATATATAGTTTTCAAGACAGAACGACTATACTTATCAAACTGGTCTTAACTGACAATAAAAATGTAGTTTTATTAATACGTCAAAATTAACTCTATCTAAATTTTGAGCACGTCTTTCTACAATTATTATTACACAATTCAGAAGCTTACTAAGCGCATAAAAATTGTGCCATTACATATTTGTGTCCAATAAAATAAACTTCAAAACAATATCAGAAGTAAAAGTCCTGCATTTTAAATACAGTTTAAAACATTGAAAAGTCTTTAATAACATCTTTCTGGTATCACAAACAAAATTGTACAAGCATTTATTTACCTCAATATCCGAAACTGACGAGTTTTCTGTTTTAAATTGAAGATAGTATATGTATGAAAAGAACTTCTCACTTGGCAAAGAGGCTTTTGCGGTGTTCAGTCGAAATTTTGAAAGAAACTCCTGGAAGAGATCTTTTGCTCGCCGTCTCATTAGTAAAGTTCTTTGAACTACCTACAATCGGTGTTAATTATTTCTACATAATTTGGAGTAATTTAGTTCTGGTTTCTGTTTTTACATATATTCCTTAGATGGAGGAATCTTCCACACATGGACCCACGCACGTTGTTAGAATAACCGTGGCACATTTAGTTCATAAATCATTAAAATAAAACCTTTATAAAAAAACAAAAGAATGATTTCATTGCGTCATAATGTAAATGTATTTTTATCAAATGCTGGTATTCCAATTCTTACTTTAGTTCAGAAACATGTCTACCTTGTGAAATGTCAACTTTTCGATTGAAGAAATCGTTTGGTAGATCTTATAACTAGATTTAAGTTAGATCGACATTGTAGAATACAAGTCATACCTAGGTAACACTGAAAATATTTAGAAAATGAAAAACGGCTTAATGTAGAAAGTTGCCAATACTTTTATTGTTTTTCGAAGTAATCTCCGTTCCTCTCTACACATCGTCGCATTCGATGGAACCACCGAGAAAAGCAGTGGGTCCATTCTTCCTAAGAGGTCTCTTCTATGGCATTTTCGTACGCCTTCACCGCATCTTCAGGGCTCGTAAAGCGTTTATCTTCAGTTTTGGGGTTGTAGCAAAATATCCAGCTTTCATCACCTGTGACGATGTCAAATACAGGTTTTGAGTCACCGCCTTTGAACTTATCTTACATTTGGCGACACCAGTCCATGCGAAGGTGTTTCTGGTCGTCTGTTAAAGTATGGGGAATCCATCTGGTACAAAGGCTCCTGACGCCTAAATGTTCGTATAATATATTTTGGACTTGACTGATACCAATGCCTAGGCTTGCCCGTATCTGTTGAGCGATTTTATTGTAATATTCTAGCCAGGAATTGATAAGTAATGTTTAAAGGCTGATTTGTCGACTTGTGTACTAAACCCAGCGTTGCCGCCTTGACTCCCTCAGTCGTAACATATATGTATTCATATTAGAATTTCTAAGTTGATCGTTGGACTAAAAACGGCTCATTAAATCTCAATTATTTTAATAAGTAATTAACGAGTTCCCTAACTAGTTTTATAGCCGTTTTATGTTAGGTTAAAAGCACGCAGTTATTTTATATAGAGCAATTACGTATTCATATGATTATTTCGTGAATTCGAATGAACAGTACATTCAATAAAAGTGTGACTTTAGCTTATTCAATTTAGGTCAAAAATTAAAGTTAAATATTCGATAATGATGGAAATATATTATTTTTATTTAAAGGAATGTAGAAATAAAAAAGAAAATAATTTGGATGTATTTATTTAGAATCCGTTTTTGTTGAATTGAAAACTTACATGTTTGTTTTAAAAAATATAAATATTGCTACAAAAGTACAGTACTGCGAAATATTGCTTAAATGAAATTAAATCGAAAATTAAATCACAATCTTATAATAAACAGAGTAAAATATAAATATGTGATTAAAATTAATTTTTAATAAAGATATTAATATACAATAACTGTCAAAGAAAACATAGTCTATCTACAATATACAGGTAACAAACATCTATCTATTTACATTTTATTCAGACTAGTTCGTGTACGAAAAAGAAATATTACGAATAGGAGTTATTTTTATTGAACACTGAAATTAAATGTTTAAAGCTTCGCTTAGAAACTGTCATACAAAACCAGCTGATTAACAGCCGTACTCAGAGTCGTTTATTAAGCGTTCACGGTTACTTAGGCCATTTAGTACAGATTTATTCACCATAATACGCAATTCAGTGCTTCTCTAAATCACCGCGTAATTTTTAAACAAAATCTATAATTAGAGATAATTAAATGAAAGACTCTGAGTATGGCCGAATAAATGTAAAGAAAAACTGTTATCAAGCATTTCACGGAATTGTTCAGACTGTATATTATAAAAAAAAATTGTCATAAAACGGCAGTAATGCTCTATTTATTCTTAAGTGGAGGTATTCTCTATACTATTATATCGGAATTTAACTAGAATCACAACGATTGTCTAAAGGGAAATGACAAAAACCGGGAAAGATTTGGGCGAAATTTTCAATTTCACACCCCATCTACACTATCCACCTATATACATGCGGCAAACCGCATAAAGCTCTTTTAAAAAATTATAAAAGTTTCAACATATAATAATTAACCTATCTATTAATTATATACAATTATTGCTATTTAAGATGCGCTTACAACGCACGGTTATAACGAAGACTTATTGCCATCCATAGACGAAGCAATCAAATTACTTTCCAAATTATCCGTACACTAGTGGAAATAAATTGTTGTTCTTTGTGAACAACAAAATTTCCAAAACATTACTCAACTAAAATATTTAAGATCAACTCAGCAACCGCAGCTCGTTCGAATAATATATTTCAACGAAGTAAGAAACACTTTTTAAACCTATGTATTATACATAGTTTCAAAAAGCCTGTACTCAAAAATACATTATGTCAAACGAATCAGAAATACCGATAGTTCCACGTTCTAGTTCTTGACAGAAACCATTCATTGCTACGTCTTTGGTTGTAGCTAATACGCAATTATTCTCCATTTCACAACAAGCAATTATTTAGGCCTTTGCTTGCATAAACCAATTAATATGTCGTAAGGATATTATACCTAAAATGCATGTTGTTCACAGTTTAGAATAATATTATGGTAAATTATGACAAAGTAAAAAATAATTGATGTTAAAGTAACAGTAAATTAAAAAAAAATGTCAAAACAGGTGATATCAGTCTTATCACTAATCTATAAATGCGATTATCTATTAAAACTTTCACTGTATATCATAGAAAAAGTTATAAAATTCAAATAAATCTAAATAAAATGGCAGATTTGAGCGTCCTAAGTTAGATCTGTTTGTAGCGGTTCACACAGAACTTGTTAAATATTTTTCTAGTAGAGAAGTTTGAGTTATTATTGAATAACTTCAACTTTAATTGCTTCAGTTTGGGAATCAGTTCGTTGAACGGGCGGCGCCCGCGCCGTGGCCTAGGACAGCGCGGTCGCGCCGGCCCGCGCTCAGGGACGGTGCGGATGCGCGGAACTCAGCGACGAACTACTCACGCCAGAATCACTGCTCTTCTCAGATATACAGGTCTCGGCGCCGGCAACAAATTTAACAACATTCAACTTATGGTCGGATTCGCAAGTGTCGTCTCTCGCTCCGCCCGGCAACCCTCCGCCACGAGTGACGATCTTTTCTCCAATTGTACCTGGATATCTTTCAATTCTGTCGCATTCGGCGTCATCGGGTTGGCGCCGCCGGATAGAGCGCTTTGCTTGAGGAGCCGGTTCTGGAGGCCGATGTGAGGGTTCGTCAGTTCTGTGCACCAGAGGAGAGGTACGCACGCGCACGCCACCAACGCCAACTCCCGCTTCGTAGCATCCAGAGTCACGCGGGAATTGCCTCCTGCCAAAAGGTGAGTCACCGCCTTCAGAACTAGAACCTCCACCGTCTCCCTCAACCTCACCTTCGCCACCTATTTATTATAAAATTATATTGTAAAACTTAATATTTTATACATTAACTAAAATATAGTAGAAGAAGAAATGTGATTTGCCAACGGTTCAAAATATCACATTGTTCTTAAACATCACGATTTTTAGACTATGGTTGTACGCAAGTCTCGACTTCTACCGTATTATTTCCAGATTCGTATATTTGAGAACTAAGCAAATATAATGAATTAAAATCACACAAAAACGCAAACTCGCATATACCCACTCACACACACCTCATCAAGCAAATTATCCAATCCAATATATCAATTATATTAATTTAAACATTGTAAATATTTTTTATCTGAAACTCCGTCTTTCTACAACTGAGCGTTTTTTAAGGCAGTTTTTGCCGCGCACCACACTATGTAGAACCAGCTGCCCGCTGAAGTATTTCCGAACCAATTCGACTTAGGTTCCTTCAAAGAGCGTACCAACTCTTAGAATGCCGGCCACGCACTCGCGATCCCTCTGGCATTGAGTGTCCATGGACAATATCACTTAACATCAGATGAGCCTCCTGCCCGTTTGCCCCCTGTTCTATTAAAAAATGGTGTGTGTACTTATGTACACACGTTAGAAGTTATACTTCTTTGGCGCAGCAAGATAAAAATCTTTTTAAACATTTTATTATACGTTTGTAGAAAAAACTACACTAACAAAACACTCAAATGTTGACTATAGCTAACTTCAGGGTGTCGGTTTTTTGTGTAAAAATTTACTCACATCATTATTCCCTAACGCGCCAAAGGAAGTATAACTTCAAAAATTCTAAACAGGCATAGTTCATTAATAAACAATTAAAAGAGTTGTCAATTAACATAATATACGTATACATGCAGTGAGTATATTATACTCACATTCAAGCTGGTGCAGCAGTTGTACAGCAGCGAGGATACGCGTCCGATGGTCTGGAGTCATAATACCCAAGTAATCTAAATCTGAAGGCTCAATTTCTTTAAAAAGCTCAATATCCTCATATCCGTTTCTTGCAAATGCAATGGCATATTCTGGCAGATCTATCCTTCGCAATAGCTCTTCTACCGTTCGAGGTCGTGTCTCCCAAAGCCTTTCCCTGCTCTTGCACCATTTCAGAGTTCTTGATCTGGAAGCATCCCTTTCTGACAAAACCTCAACGTTCGCAAACTTGAAGTTACCAACTTTGTTGTTGACCACTCCACGCCATATTCCTGACGCATTCATGTTTATCACTTCGATGATGTCTCCTTTCTGTTAATAAAAATATTTTTTTAATTAAATTAATTTAATTAAATGTGACATTAATATTTTTTAGACAACTTTAGTTCAGAGATCCAAGAATATCATAGGATCTACGTTATTAAGTTGTGGAAAAGGCTGACCGACTCCATACTATTGGCTACCTCCCTAACATCTTTTAAAACTCTTCTACATAAACATTTATTAACATAAATCATATCCTATCCTGCTCCATCGTGACTTTTGTGATTCTGGTATTTCTTATTCTTTTGTATTGCATTGCAATTCATGAATCCGTGAGATTAGTTTTTTAGTGTTAAATTTATTTTATTAAAAAAACATGTATTATTTTAGATTAAGGTTGGTAATTCTATAATTTTTTTATAAAATTTGCGTATGCACTCTTGCACTTTAGCCATCATATTACTTTTTTAGTTTTTATTCCTTACTAAGATTGCCTGGAAGAGATAGCTTGTTAGCGATCAGGCCGCCCGTTGCATTATTTAGAATATTTACGTATTATGTTATTTGTTTTTCTATAAATGTAACGAAGTGTAATTAAATAAATAGAGTAAATCTTATGTCTCCTGTAATTACGTTTAAATCTTACCTTGTATCTCAAAGCATCTTTTTCATATATATTGGGTATGTAATCAACCAGAGCACGGGCACGGCACAGCATTTGTGGTACAAGAAGACTCCGCCCGGCCGGACTTAATTCTATGCTTTCTTCTGCCGAGAGAGATGAATGATTACTACCGGCTCGAACCAATGCCTGCGTGCCTGTACATAAACATTGTATTTACGTCTAAACGCGTTGGAATACAAGCAGCAGCCGCTAAAACTTAAGGCCCCCAAGGTACTTGAATTTCGCGTGGCTTTTTCATGTTTGGCGGACACTGGTTTAAAATTCTCGTTTAACAGGGTATTATTACAATATAATCACTGAATACAATGACCAAAGATAGACGTACCAATTTGTATAAAACTATAAAATACTTTTGTAGCTAAAACACGGTAACAATATAACAAATGAAAGTAGCAGCTTCATTTTGCTTTTTTTTCTTCAATTAATTGGCATGTCGATCACTAAGCTAATAATGTTATTAATTAGTTGAAAGGGTGAGAGGTCAGTTGAGTTATACTATCACTTACTGCGGACGTGGAACAGAGAAAAGAAAGACACAACTTATTTACAAACATTTATATTAACACAGAGTTAAATCCACTCACTACTGCCTGATCCACTGGGAAGACTTTCAAAAGAACTATTAGAACATGGAAACGCCTGGTCCCCACTTGTTCGCCTTTCGGAACATTCAGGACCTATTTCTTGTCGTAATCTTGATATTTTTCTTTGTACATCCTGCCTAAGACCTCGAACTTTTCCCACTAAATTCGAAACACCTTCCAAGTCATCCGCAGACTGAAAATTATTACCAATATGTTATTCAAATTGCCTTTTAAATTGATTTCACTGATTGTAATTCGATTACCTTGTGCACTGTCGCTATATGCTGCGAGTCAGTCTCGCTCTCTTGATCTTCGTAATCCGATGAAGCCGGCGATAACGGATCTATTCCTATTCGATAGCCTGACATTTGCCTGTAACCTCGTCTCGAATCCCGCTCGGAACGGCTTGATTCCAACGATATGCCGGATAGTCGCGATCCTATAGATTGTATGTCAGACGCGGCGTAATCCCCGCTTTCCCTATCTCTCGCAGTTCGCAACGGTATCACAGTGGTTGGGTAGGGGCCGCTCTGTGGAATTATTAATCCTCTCCGCGGAGCCCTCGCTAAGCTTATATCGCCAGCACTTCTCAATGATATCACGCCTTCGCCTCTCGGTTCATTTCGGAGATTAAGCGTAAAACAAACTCGGCCGTTTTGAAACGTCGCAGCTGGTGCGTTTCCACCCATGAGAAAGTCCTCTGGATCACTTTCATAGGGTGGCTCATCATACCAGTGGCCTCGTCCAGACAACCCTCTAGCTTCATCGTCGTACATATACGTGTCGTCTGCAAACGATTCTTTGATTAGACATGAAGAAACAACCTTCAATAGTGCAAATAAAATATGTGCTAGCGTAATTGCAAAAAAATTTACCGTTAAAGGCCCTCCTATTAAATGGCGGTTTCACTGACAACACTGCAGGTAAGCTGTGTACGAACATCGGAAAGCCGTGCGTGGTTGATGCAAAATTATATTTTCAAAAACATGCACTTAGCATTTCGACGCAAACAAAACTTCGTAGCTGTGATGATGGTTTTAAATAACCGGTTTATTTTTGTTATTTATCTCTTCTTGTTTAATGAGTTTCTATCGCATCGATTCTCGAGTCATTTCAATGTATGATTGATGAAGGATGCACATCGAAAGCATACCGGATGATTGCGATACCGAACGATAAATCAATGACAATATCAAAGTAAGCATTCCGTCAAGATGACCAGTAAATTAAGTGTCAAAACATCGTGCAAGTAACATGCTTCAAATTTATTATCCCATTTAATTATTCTTTTCTGACGTTTTTACTCATGACCTTATGATATTTTGACCTTAATTATTAGAGTTCATTCAAGCAAATTAAATTCCGATTGTGATCTAATTGAAACAAAACAAAAGAAAGCCCAAATCAATTTTGAATTTAGAATGCATAACAAAAGTGGTTCATAACAATGCTCACATCAAATACGGCCAATATACCTTGAAGCAACTATAGAACATTCAGTAGACACAAGAGTGTGACTGTCTAGACACAGACTTTAGAAAAATTAACAATTTTTTTTAACTTTCATTGAAATTTCAGTAAAATTTACTTTAATTAACCATTTGATCATAGTTATTACTGAAATACTGAAAATATTGTTTCAAAATTCCAAACTTTTTTTGGATATAATAATTTCACAAATATACCTCCAAACGGACCACGAACCCCGTCCCGTCCCATATTGATGAGACCGTGTCTGATGTCCCGTAGGATCTGTAAAAAAATATATACTCTAAATAAACATTACAAAAATAGCCTTTAATTAGACTTCAACAATAACAATATTATAATAAAAATAATGATCAAATCAGCGTGGGTGTAAAGGCATCCACTAACGAGGTGGAATACAAGCAATATAAAACAAAGAAAATTGCAAAGGGAACAATAAATATTCAAAGCTTGTGTACAACCAATTCCACGTAAGTAGAAACGTATTGAAGATAATAAAGTTAATTTATGTACTGTGAAAATATAGATTTATTTTTGCGTTGTTTCACGATATCATCGGTTTTGGTTCTTTACATCTTGACAGTTTCATATGGAACAATTAAAGTTATTCAGTTATCAAAGAAGTAAGATTTTTTATGAATTATTCTTTAACGACTAGTGATTTTTATACAGCATGTTCTTAAGTAATAGTATCGAAGTAATAAACTTTCAGAGTAATTTACAAGAGAGCAGAAACGAATGTAACATGCTTAGCGAAAGGCTTCCGAAGTTTCGTATCGAAGCGGTACAAGTTCCAACAGGCTTAGCTGCAGATTAGAGCATGATTAGTCGGAGGCCAGCGCCAAACCGATGTGAGCTCGGGATTACCAACTCTGTTACGCTTGTATTAGTTTTGAATTTCCCTTAATCAATACACAATGTCAGGGACACTGTGAACTTTGAGAATGCTGTATTGTTGGGATTATGAAAGCCTAATATTTTAACTTTGCTTTTATCTTTATACTGTTTGTTACCTTTATATAATAGACTTTGTGTTTTAATATCCATCTTATACAAGTTAATATATGTCGATTATTTTATCGATAAAATCTTTAAACTGCACCGATCTATGAGAAAAAACTTTTAAACAAATTACCTCTTCTTGTTCTCTCGCCAATTTGTCCTTTTTCTTCATCGCCTCTTGAACTTTTAACTGCAACAAGCACAATATCTCATTTATTTAAAAGTTTATGAAAGTTATATCCTTTAGAAAGTTTTTCAAGCGAGATCGTCCAACATTTAAATTTATAGTAAAACCTTTTATGATTTGCGATTTAAATGGTGCATTCCGCATATTGAAATAATAATGATAACATAATATCAAAGATCATATCATTGAATGATGAAGGAAAAAGGTGCACTGTTTATTAAAACGTACATTTTATACAACCGTCCATGCACATAATTAATTTTTACGAATTGCTTAAGACTGCATGCTGCGAGCATTGCTTCATCCTGATCCCCGTGAGAATAATTTATACCGGGCCGTATTTAATTTGTATGTATTATAATAAAAATAAGTTCCTCTGCGCAATTTTGCAAGCGTATCTCACGAGGATCCACTATTGATATACAATTAACGAACTTAAAGTATAGCCTTAATAATAAACGCACATGCAAAGTTTTACGCACTCCACTAAAGACTCAAACACTTGCATGCAACCAATCTACGGTGCAACAGTATCGTGTCGTGCATAATACATTTTTATTTAAGAATACACTGTTTATAAATGATGTTTAGAAAAGCTGAAATGATAGCCACCTCCTAATCTCCGAGCATTCCAAATGTGTAAACCAAAACTTGTAGGCGATGAAAATTTTGAATTTTGAACATCCATTACATCTCTGTTGGCAAAAATATCGACCGATTTAGGGCCAAAATAATCGATCGATAGTAAAATTAGAGCATTAACATAATTACGCTTTTGCCAACCCGAGTGTAACAGAAAGTTTTCCTGCTGAAATTTTGAAAGTTACTGTGTTTTGCGTTAAATTTGAAAAGTTTATAAAGCTCCACTATTGGATGTCTAAATCTCATTATTGTTACTACGATGGTCAAAGCTAAAACACAGTACTTTATATTTATCTTCACGCAGGAAAACGAAGGCTCACCCTATGTATAGTTTCTTCAAAGGTGTTTGGTTGGGCGGCTGTCATTTGAAAGAAGCGTAGCCGATCATAGTCTCTAGGGTCAACCATGGACCTTAGAGCTGTGTCAGGACCTGGACCGAGGCCTAAGCCACTTTGTAGCACGCTGTCCGGTGTATCCACCTGAAGGAAATTACTTATTAAAATGACACTGTTGTCTTCTACTGCCAACCTTTTGAGAGACATCAACAAAATTTTCACCTAATCCAAATTTGTACATATCAAGTGTTCCAAATTTAAATATTAATAACCAAACGCGTATATTGTGACAAATTCCAACAATTTATGACTGTTTAGATAAAACGTATTAACCATACAGAAGCGCCATATATTTTAAAGCTGGTATTAAAATGTCAACATAGTCGATATTTTAGAAAACGAGCGAACTTTAAAAGTTAAACAAAATTTTGACCATTTATCAAACCCGACGTTTTCGACATCGACATTTTTCGGGAATATAACCACGAATATCTGGAACTCTTTTGCAATGTTAAAATTTTCAAGCGGTGAAGATTACATTTCAGCCGTTTTACTGATTTCAAAAGGGGGTTCTGTAATCGACCAATTTCAGTACATATGCATTTAAAAATCTAAACAAAAAACGAATTGACTTTTCATTTCGAACACTTGGCTCTTTTAACTTTTTTCATTATATTTTTCTTATTTATTGGTAATTCATACTATTACTTCTTAAGAAAAAATCTCATACTTTCGGCTTAGGTGTTCTCAGAATTTTTGTGTTCTTAACCGATATTGTATGCCACTACCATAAGAGTATTTTTACACTAAAAATATTTCGTTCATGCGATTTGATTTTGTTATGTAGGCCATTATCAGATTCCTTAACAAGGAAGTTAACGGCCAGCATTGTGAGGATATATGATTAATTGATTTGCCCCAAAATCCCATTGTGATGCAGATTCACTTTTGCGTCAAGTGCGTGATTAATGAAACTGATCCGGATGAAGTGCTATTTTTTATGTAAAGTTACTTAGTAATTAAGTTACGATTACTTCCTACGTTAAGCTCCGTTTAAAAATAATTTAAAATCCATAAACCTGATAAAATAACAATGTGCCATTATTGCGATTACTACTTTATTAAGATTTTAGTATCTGTAATATTAACTTATGTATAAAATAAATCAGTGGCGCTACAACCTCTTTAAGTCTTGGCCTCCGATTTCTGAATCTGTTTCATGATAATTTTTTTTAAATGTTGAGTCATACACATATTAAAATATATAAAATAAAAAAAATTAACCAATGGCGCTACAACCATTTTAGGCCAGGGACTCAGACTCTGTATCTGTTTCATGATCATTTGGCAATGTAATAGGCAAGTAGGTGATCAGCCAGTGCCTGACACACGCCGTCGACTTTTTGGGTCTAGGACATGTCGATTTCCTCAGGACGTTTTTCTTCACCGTTCGAGCAAATGTTGAATGCGCACATAGAAAGAAATTCCATTGGTGCACAGCTGAGAATCAAACCTACGACCTAACCGACGTATGAGAGTCGCATGCTGAAGCCACTAGGTACCACTGCTCACTAACTTATGTATAGGTCTTTATTATTATTATTTTATTTATATTTTATGTTACAATTGATGAACATGTAGCGGTTTGCTTCTGTGTGCAAAGTCCCAAATCTAATTCAATTATTATTTTTGCTTTATAACAGTAGTTGCAACCTGCTAGAATTATTATTTCTGACTCAAAGCAAGGACATTCCAGTACAGCTTTGACGGCTCATTGGTCTAGTGGTTAGTACCCCTGACTGCGAAACCATGGGTCCCGGGTTCGATCCCCGGCTGAGACAAACATCGATGTGATGAGCATTTGGTGTTATGCTTAGGTCTTGGGGGTTTAAAATATGTATTTATATGTATATCTATCTATAATATGTATGTATATTCCTTTGTCTAGTACCCATAACACAAGCTTCACCAGCTTAGCATGGGACTAGGTCAATTGGTGTGAATTGTCCAATCTAACAAATAATAACAATAACAGCTATGAGTTTTTAATTTGTTGATGTATAATAAATATATAAGCCTACCACGCTTAAAAATTGATAAAAACTGCCAAAAAACTCAGGTTGATATCGAAACCATGTAACCAACTACAAAAACATCAAATACGTAATGAAAATATTTACGAAGTAGGTCAGTTTGTCATACGAGAAAAAAGTTTAACATAAAGTGAATCACATGCGTAAACTCGAGATGTAGACAAAATCAAGTCAAAGTAATGACAAATATTTGTTTCCATATGAAACTTCAGTGTGTTTACTTAACATTGATTAGTTTTACGAAAATTACATACCAATTTAGACATGTTTGTTGACATGAAATCAAGGTGTATATTATATGTAGACAAAGCTATACAGTGTATAGAATAAATGTCCTTTTCTGAACAAATTATTCCTTAGTATTAAATTACTAACTTAAAACGAAGCTTTTAGTCAAGTTTAAACTTTGTTGACTTTATATTTCTGAATACGTTTCAAGATAATACGTTAAACTTTGGAACATGCAATATGATTGAAGGATTAATCTTCGTCAGAACTTCAACTTCAACACCGATTCCTGTTTGCAATAAAAGCACTACCACGCTAATACGTCTACATCGCAATTGGGGTGTGTCGTTAGAAAGAGGATGTACACAGGGTTTACAGTAGAGGGGCTGGTCGAGGCTCAATTACCTTAAGTAAAGACAGTTCACATTGCCATAAGATTATAAGATAGCAATGTGAACTGCCACACACCCATACACACACACTCACATACACACACCTATACAACTTTATTTCTACTAACTTCTAACTAGTTGACTGTTTTGTTTTGTTTTTCTTTCCTTATTTAAAACGTTAAATTTGTTTGCCTACCCATATATGTATGTACTTTTTGTAAACACTCAATATGACTTGGCTGTGGAATGGAAGCCTGGTTATCCATATCACAGGTTCTTGCCTAGTTTGGAAACCAGTCTCCCAATGCCTTCTCAACTGTTATCTTATTGTTTGTTGTAAATGTTATATGGGAGAAAATATATTATTATTATTATTACCAAGACCTGTATAAATATATGCTAGTAAACGCAAACCACACTTCGCACAAAGAAAGTAATCTGCGTCAAAACATGGCTTTGAAAATATTACTACTGTAAATATGATAAATGCGAGGTAACTTTTGTAGTTGCAATTTAATATCGCCTTCATTTTGCCGTCCCAGATTTCCTTTGTTACCTTTTGTTGAGTGATAACCGCGAGATTTACTTATTAAATGCGTTGGAAAAATTCTAAAGTCGGGTTTAATTTATTCGTTCATGTTAAATAATCATTTGTGAAAGTTGTTTATTTTGAGGTTGAATTATGTCCATCCGACTAGAAATAATGCAGAGAAAAACTTTTTGCATCTTATTATTTAAATTTATTAGTGGAAGAATATTTGTACGCGCTTAAAATGATTGTTAAAATAATATAGTGCTAGGAAATGTATTGCGCCACACAATTAAAAGCGTATCTTATTGTCCACTTCAAGGTGCTATTGATACTAGTGATTTTGTGTATTCATGAAAAAAATTAATTGTCTAAAGTAGTTTGCTTAAAGCTTTGAGATAAACTTTATGATAATAGGAAGGTCATATGTTATCTACACATATAAAAATGTGATGTTGGTTTATGTACGCTTCAAAAACTCAAAAAGTTCTTATATATATATATTTTTTTTTCCACAAGTATTGCAAAATTAAACTTATATGAAATGTATTCTATGATTTCTTTGTTCAGAAATATAATGAAATATAAAACTTGTTTGCTAATGTAAAATAATAAATTTTCCTATTTAAAATATCTAACTTCAGTCCTAAGAGCGTTCAGAAATGTAATTTAAATATAAAATCTTAATACTAAATATTAGTTTCCGTAATTATATAAATTATAACGTCAATAAATTTATATCTCAAATTCAAGTTTCCCATCCACAAGATTTAAAAATCTTTGTCGAAATTCACATTTACTACGGTCTAACCAATTGCAACAACTTTTTTTAGATTCTACACTCATTTAGTTTTATAAACAATAAAAATATAACCCGAATAAATGACAAACAACTTAGCCAATTTGTTAAAGACACTGGAAGGAACTAGCGTTTAAGTTACAGGCTAGGCCTAGTTTAAACGCTAGTGCACATAGAATTATTTTATGTACGAGGTTAACCAAACTTAATAGTGAGAACACAACGATTATTGTATGTTTATAACATTTAGAATGTAAGTACAAAATGTAATTGTTTTTTTCGTCAAATAAAGTGATTTTTATTATTATTTTTGTTTTTGACATTTTGGTAACGCAGATTGTGTAGTTCTGTAAAAATTATACGAAAGATGATGAATCCTCTGCAAACGATGATTGAGTCAATGAATAAATTTAAGTTCACGTCTCACTAAATATGTAGGTAGGTAGGTACTTGAGATTCATAGAACTGAAGGAATGCCAACAAAACGGCTGTAAAAGCAGACAATAGGGTTATCTATAGTTAAGTATTTACGATATACATAATACCGGGAGCCACGCAGAGCCAATATAAAGTTTTATTACCGATACCGTCGATCTACATCCCTATAATGCCTTAACAACGTCCCGCAAGACGGGGCAAGGTGCCAATGCGAAAATTTAACTTGAACATTCTAGTATAATAAAACTTTTTCGTATAATAGTCACATTGTGTGTGTCAATAAACGCGATTGCCAAGTATGGGATGGTGCCTTCTTAGCAAATTTGTGGACGATAACGTTTTATTGCGGTTTCGTATGTATGATGTCGAGAATTTATAAGCTATTCAAAAATATATGCGTAACTTATAATATTTTACCTCGCCAACACAAGAGAAATATTTATCTGTTTAATTGTTATTATAGACCGTTTTACACACGGTCTTTTACCTTTAAAAAAAATCAGTGGCGCTACAACCTCTTTAGGTCTGGGCCTCAGATTTCTGAATTTGTTTTATGATCATCTTTCAATCTAATAGGCAAGGTGATCAGCCACCAGTGCCTGACGCACGCCGTCGACTTTAAGGGTCTAAGGACATGTCGGTTTCCTCACGATATTTTCCTTTACCGTTCGAGCGAATGTTAAATGCGCACATAGAAAGTCCATTGGTGCACAGCCGGGGATCGAACCTACGACCTCAGGAATGAGAGTCCCACGCTGAAGCCACTGGGCCAACACTGCTCTATGTCAAAACAATTTGGTTGGTTTACGGTGGCGTAAACGATATTAAGATTTAGAATCGCGTAACTCGGCTTTCGTCTTACTACATAGGGTGTTTTTTGTGTACCGTAACTAATTTAAGACAGACAATCGGATACACATAAAGCATTCCCCTAATCCTCTAATCACAGCTGGACAAGTCCCGCCAATGGTCGAAAAAAGCTACTTCTGACAGAGCTAATCCTAAGTGCAACTTGGCCGATAAGGATTATGCTCGCGCCCTAATGGCCTCCATCCCTTCTCTCAACAAACGGCTATAACTCAGGCGTCTTGGCTCAACCGACTTAACTTTGGCAGCCGTCATTTCTCACTGCGTTGACGTACCCGGAGATTAATAAATACGGGAGGAAAAATGTTGCTTAATTTGGGAGAGATGAGTTGCGTGAAGTTCGTCATATTTATGACGTTTCATTGTTATGCATGATATACGGATCATCTTAATGCTGCAAGTTTTGTTCGAAGTTCAAAGTTTAGCTTGTCTGAAACTCTATGAATAAAATTTCAACACAAATACAATATGTTAAAGCAATGCATTCGGTATGCTGAGACCACCTTTTTGTTAAATTAATTAAGATATTGTTGGATCTGGCTTCCGGCTTTACACGGATATGTAAGTTTTGTTCCTGAAGGTTAAGATTATAATAGTGAATAATGTTTGAAATCGATTTGATGGTATGTCGTACGGTATTCTACTGTGGGGTGCTGCTGCAGAGGTTCAATCCATATTTGTGCTGCAGAAGCGGGCTGTTCGGGGTATTTGTTGTGTTTCTCCGAGGGAGTCGGTACGGAATAAGTTTAAGGAATTAAATATTATGACACTATCTAGTCAATATATTCTTGAAGCCTTGTTGTATGTCCAAAAAAATATAAACGATTTTAAAACAAATGGTGACTTTCACCGGTATAATACGCAAAATAGAACTAATTTGAGTGTAAGACCAACCAGGCTCCAAAAGATAAATCACTCCTTATATGGAAATTGTATTCGTTTTTACAACAAACTCCCAAGCGAAATTAGAGTATTATCACTAAATAAATTCAAAGCCCTCGTTAAACGAAAATTAATCAACAAAGCTTTTTATAAATTTGAGGACTACTTAAATGATCCTAATCCTTGGGATTGAATTGCTCCAGTTCAAACAATTTGTATGACAATACTTGGCGATTAAAAAGAGTGGCGGAAAGTTTCTTGCCAGTTCTTCTTACCCGCTCTACGCCCTTGACTTGCGAACTGGTAGTAAATATAAATTTACGATTAATTTAACTTGACGATTCAAAAGTGTACTTGGTTACCCATTTGAATAAAGATATTTTGAGTTTGAGTTTGAGTTTTAATAAATCCTATACAAACATAGTAATACAAATCTTTCCTCTTCATTAGTATAGACATAGACATAACATTTATTACTAACGAAATACACACATAGAAACACACGTAATAATAATCAAAGAATAAAAAAAATAAAAAAAAATTAAGGAATAAGGTACATTTTAAGTGTAATGTGAGTGTGTTGTAGTTGTAACTGGCCCAGGCTCAAGCATTATGCTGTGGAGCAGACGTGTTCCACAGCGCTGGTCATTCTGCCAGAGACCACAACAGTTATTTTGCACCTCAGACGCAAAAAAAGAAAAAATAATGTAATAATATTAACAATAGTAAAAATGTACAGTGTATTACAAGTTAATTGAGAGCTAAATTATATTTATGTAACTCTGACCAAAATAAATGACTTTCCGTCCTTAGAACATAAATTGTCTACATGAAAATACCTAGTACGAGTATCATGTACGCGACAGTACCTGCCGCCTCAAAATTCGCAAACCATGCTTATCAGATGTCGTGCGGTACCCTTTCATTGTACGACCTTACGCTTCATTCCAGACTCTCATTACCCTTACCCAAATCATAGTCGGCTTAGGATTCCTTCTAATAAAAATATTCATATTGTTAATACATTTATGAACATACTTCGTTTTATCAAAAACCAACCATGATTGGCGTAAAACGAAACATTGAGTTATGTTATCTTAATATATAAAACAAAGTCTATAAATATAGCTCGAAAGTTAACGGAAAAAAGAATTAAATACAAAACGTTCATAGGTTTCGTAACTGTCACGTTAGGTGGTACGAAGTTTGCCGGGTCAACTACTTAACCGTTAAATATAAATGTTATTGAAATTGATTTGAGGTAGATAATGTACATCTCATAGTTATAATTTTCAATCAAGTCACATTATTCTAAGCAATCAAGGTATACAGTATTTTCAATTTTTTTTAAATATTTTTTTTCTTTTTCACCTCAAATCAATTTGTACGTGATAAATATACGATTTTGTCTTTTCCGAGGAGCTATGTTTAAACTAGCAATATTATAGAAATCAATATTTATTGGTCATTTTTATTAAGACCCTAATCAATATAAAATAATATTAATATTTTACGCACTGGCGAGGCCTTTGGTATTGAGTGTCACTGGGCGGTATCACCATCAGGTGAGCCCGTTTACTCTCTGGAACCCGGTATGGAGATTTCTCGTCGATCTTTGCCAGTTTTTTCACGCGTTCGCTACCCCATGCACTATTATATTCGTCGCCGGCTTCTTTGACAAGCACTCGGCAATTAGTATGACGCTATGTGAGTGTCTTATATGATGGGACCAATATTTTGCGAAAATATCTACATATCTTTTGATATGGCAAATTATCTGTCTAACTGATATAACTACCAAAGAGATCAAAAAAAGAATAGCAAATGGATGGTAAAATATTGGTCATTGAGGGAGATCATGAAAACACAGATTTCAGCAAAAAAATAAAGAGAAAAGTCCGCGAAACTTGGGCACTCTCTAACCAGCACAGGGATATGCTAGCACATTGTCAAAAAGCCATGGAAAGAAGCATGCTGAGCATAAGAACAAAATAAACACAGACATAAGAGCTAGAATAGGTGTGACAGAAATTCTCACTAAGACCAAATGAAATGGAGACAGACGGATGGATCATATCCTACGGAGCTCCCATGAGAAATGGAGCAAAATATTGACGGAATGGTGGTAAAGACGGAAAACGAAGAAGAGGCCAACCACGCAGGAGATGGGAGGACGCACTGAAACTAACAGCAGGCTACAACTGGAGTCGCAAAAGATAGAGAACAGTGGAAAGGGTTAGAGGGAGCCTTTGCCAAGAGGCACACCGAACTCCGAGATATACTGTGAATATATATTAAAGTTCATATATATAAAATCACAGAGTTTCGGAATTTAAAGCCTATATTATTATTATTATTATTATATCTACATATATTTTACAAATACACCTTGTTATTAGCATTTGCAAGCGTTAGAACCATTTTCTCTTCACTGAAATTTTGTAGGGTCAAATCCGGTATGCTTGTTCATCTTTTGAGCTGTCACTTTGCCCTTTTAGATTATATGCTCTATTGTACAATGCATTATCTGATTTTAATTATATAATTCATCAATTAGAAACGCATTGTACAATATTAGAACATGCTGTATGTGCATCTATACATCTATTTCACACCTTGCAAATATTCTTACCATACACCAAAACCGTGATAAAGCTATCACAAGTTTTTTGATAATGCCGCAATGTATAGTAGAATTATTATAAACTTTTGGCCAAAGCTCCACTTGAGAATTTTGTCTGATTTAAACAAAAACATACCCGCTGAGGCGGCAACGTTTGCCGTGGACTGTGTGTGTGCTTTGGAGAACAGGAACCATGTTTTTCTTTTCTATGGGATTTTAATCCGCGTAGCAGTCTTGAAAATGTGGTCACCTTTTTCTTAGCTGTACCGAGGCAGTTATCTGAAACATGTACACATCATTTAATGATAGAGAATTAATGAACCTAATTATAAGGGTAAATCGGTGGATGCCAATTATCTAAGCTGTTAACTACATAGCTTTATTTCGTCTAAGTAGCCTTAACAACCCTAGTCATAGTTGTTTGACTATATCAAATTATACAATTATAATTTTATATATAAGAGTAAAACTAAACTATTAACTTAAATTCCGATTAATTAAACAGCGGTAAATGGGCAGAACCTTTTAATCTTGGGACTTGGTCTACGGTGAATTAATTAACATATTTAAAATGTATACTACTTATACTCGTATACGTATATATCATTGTTATATGTTGGAAATAACGCTATATAAGGCCGCCCGTTGTCCTTCCAATAATTAAAAATTTCTCATTGTATTATTAAAGCGACGAAGTGTTAAATGAATAGTAGATTGTTTATAAAATTAATTACAAAATAAACAGCACCATCAAATCGGTTTTACTTTTAAAAGGAAAAACAAATACATAGTTTTAAGCAGCCTTATCTGAAAAATATGAAAATTTGCCTCGTGAACAATTTTATAAAATATAAAATCTTAAATAACTTACCGCTGGGAGGGAATTCATAAAAGTACGCTGAACGAGGACTCAGGCAGCTGAAACAAAAAGTCTTGTTGAAAACTATTGTCTTTTCTTTTATAAATTAAATAGATTTAAATAGTTAAGAAACTTCGTAGCCGGTAGATATTGAACTTCTAAGAAAATAATTTAGCATACTTTAGTCTGAACTTGGAAACTCCTGGAGACTTCAGTTTTAATAAACACTATAATATAAATCAGTGGCGCTACAACCTTTAGATTTTGGCCTCAGATTTCTGAATCTGTTTCATGATCATTTTTCAATCTAATAGGCAAGTAGGTGATTAGCCTCCAGTGCCTGATACACGCCATCGTTTTTTTGTGTTAAGACATGTCGGTTTCCTCACGATGTTTTCTTTCACCATTCGAGAAAAAGTTAAATGCACACATAGAAAGAAAGTCCATTGGTGCACTGCCGGGGATCGAACCTACGACCTCAGGTATGATAGTAGCACGCTGAAGCCACTAGGAACTCACTCAATTTATTTGAGTTCACAAAACAAATCCAAATTAAAATGCATTACCACATCATCCTGAATACAACCAGAGTACGAGCGCATTAAAAACTTCATATTCGTAATTAAATAATGATGCCTGCGAGCAACGCAAAATAAAAGTCCAAAAATGAATTTTGGTATCGGGTTATTAACAATATCAGCGCTAATGACAATTGTGGAAAGGCTCAGCCGGTAATGAGAACGTAAATTGTTAAAGAGGGTTTATTTAATTCACTATAATGTGAGGAATTTTACGTCCTCTGCGTGTCGAGCTTACGTCCATACAATACTTTTACGTAATATAGTTTATACAATCAACACAACTGTAAGAAATATACCTAATGCATACTCAAACTATAACAATTATTTACTTATTTTAATTGTGTAGTGACTGACATGGGTAACTTGTTTATAAATAATGTAAAATTATGAGGGTAGCGTAATTAGCCGTTTTTATTAACAAATTTAAAATTTTAATAACTCCTAGCTATGGTTTTATCACCCGTTGCGAATCTGATAACCTGGACAAGCTGGTTGTCGTCGGTAAGGTGGAAGGCAAGTCACGATTCTCACAGGTCTCCTCATAATAACTGCGCTTAGGGAAGCTATAGACCGAACGAAGTGGTGAGATATCACTAGTAAGGCCCAGGCCACGATGCCATTTTCTTGTAAATACCAGAGCAATAATTGAATGCAATAAATGAAGCGCAATAATTGACGTTCAAGAATTGCGTAAGAAATTATTGTACGTGCTGTTTACATCAATAATAGTTTTGAAAGGAAACTTTTCCCATTGATCAAGAATGTTACGTTTTGTTTAGACCATGCAACTCATTTATTGCGTCGATATAATTGTATGCTACAGGCAAGAAAAACATTGACACGACCTTCAGCAATGAAGAAATGCTGAGAATTGTTAAAATAGTACCTACTTAATAAAAGTTTAGAAGTTATAAAACGCATAAAGCTGAACGCAACTAATATTTAAATTTCGACAAACATGCTAAATACATAAGTCTATAAATAGTGTATCGTATTAAAGTATTAAACCGTGTATTGGGATCAAACTATCCCACAATGGACCATAAATCAACCCAAGTCGTATCGGAACATGCAACCATGCAATGAATATTGATTTTCAGACCAATTTAGGTTGACGAATATAAATTAATGGGAGAATTCCGGTTTCCACAATACACTTGTTTATATGTATAGAGAGATAAACGATATATTCCTCATACGTAAAACAAAATATATAAGAATGTTCAGTGCTATATATCAAACAAATATACACCGGAATTGCTTTTATCAGACTCGTTGTGAGGACACTTGCCTGAATATAAGTTTCTACAGATCAAATATATATTTTGTGTATCATTATATAATAGGCAAGATGATCAGTGCCTGAAGACAGATTTTTCGGTCTATCATAGCGGTGTCCTCATTATGGTCTTTCACTTTGTTAGGAGTGTTGGATGTGCGCACATAGAAAGAACATTCCATTAGTGCACAGCCGGGATTTGAACGCACGATACCGGGCTTGGGAATCACACGCACACGCCACTGGGCCAGTAATGCTCTCATACACAGTGCCTATCTAAACCTTGACATTTAAGTAAAAAGAAGCTAAAACGCAGACAATGAAAAGTTTTGAAGTTACATACCTTGGTAAGATTTTTACGTTCGATATCACAATTGACAAGTGTAATGACGATGGTAAAAAATACCGATGTACCAGATTAGCAGTAGAAACCAGATGTTTTAATGGTCTTAGTCAAAAGAACATAAACTAAAAAAATAATGGTCTACATGGATTATAAAAGCAACGTAAACAATTTCCAAACACAATACATATTTTAAGTTCATCGTGTGCTCGTTATATTTTAGTACCACTTAAAGAAAGCTTAAAGCTTAGAGCAAATAAATATATTTTTTTTCCTTAGATATGTTGAAATGCTATCAATTATAAATTAGCGTTTTTTTTGTTTATCTCGATATTTTGTTGCAAGATATGTGAAAACGAAACATGATTGTGACTTATATATAAATTTTGCCAATTTTGCGAGTGCTTTTGTACAATAACATCATATAATGTTGGTACAATAATAACATATATAATAATGTATAGGGCCGTCACATTTATGCGGTTATTTCTCATACATCAACACAATTGTCATTTAACTTTAGATACTCGAAGTAAAAATTATTTTGCCACGTATTTCTAGGAATCGGTGATGGTATGTGTGGGTTAAACTTTGTATCAAGGAATCAGCATAATTTTCCGTTCAATAAACTTGCTGAAACATTCATTTAATAATGGTATACATAATCTTTTCATTGAAACGTTATTCAATCGTTAACCGCGTTTTAACGGCGCGGTCGGTTAATTACTTTTAACAACGGCTACAACCGGTCCCAATTTAAGTCCGTTCGTAAAACAGATAACACGGACAGAAATGTTGGACTTTAAAAGGTGCTCAATAAAGAAGGTTAAAATTTGAAGTAGTAGTACCTTTTTGTGCAGAGTCGACATAATTCGTGAATGCTGTTTTATTATCTTGTAGTGTTAACGATAAGTTAACTCGTAAGTGTGATAATTTATCACATATCTGCCACGCCCACGAATGTTTTCTTAAAATTGTTCTTGCGGCTACAAAGGCTTACGTATTATATTTCTGTTCGTTTAATTTCCAAATGCTGTGCAAATAAATATATGTAACTAGATGACCCCGAGAACTTTGTTACACCAACATATATTTCTATCAATACTTTTAAAACAAACCAAAGAGATCGGACCTCATACAGCAGACTACATACTAACGCATATTTCTGAAAGAATCTACAAATAAATGACAACCAAGTGACAACTTTTTATTTCTAAAAAGACGTCCACTTTCCCAACTAAGAACAGTTTTTATTGGAAAATGCAGTTGTTGTTTTTAGTATTTTTCTTTAATTGTTATTTATGATTCCCACCATATAACCTTCCCTGAAATCGGTCCAGCCATTCTCGAGTTTTAGCGAGACTAACGAACAGCAATTCATTTTATATATATATAGATTTATGACGCAATGAAAACGTAATAACGCGCCATTTCTCATTTACCGCGTGTCATTAAAATTAAAAAGTCAATTGTCATCCATGTTCATTTGTCATAAACACGGTGCAATGATACCATGGACAACACAAACACGAATGTCAGGACACGATGAATAGAGATCACAGATAACGACAGTTAATTACGTTACACAAAACAGCAGATTAAAAATGAAAATTTTAAGTTTAATTAGTTGAACCATTGTATTTTAAGAGAAATATAATCCTGTGCCTAGCATACCTAAAATTGAATGAAAATATTCAATGTTTTCGATTCACATAATCATTTTTTAGTACCTTTGTTATGTAATTTTAAATGTTTTTTAAACTTCTGGAAGGCTATAAGATCGACATGTTACATCTGTTGTCGCCTTTTATTATTACCTGCTCTGTGATAATGTTTGTCTTTATTATCTGAAGCTTATAAATGATATTCTACATACATATAGCCTACGCAGATCATTTATAAAGATAAGGTAATGTATTAATATGTTATAGCAAATATTTTATTACAAACTCTCTCAAAAAAAAATCCTTAAGACTCTCATATTAATTGTTACGGATTTATAAGTCGTGCCGCAAATATAGTAAGTCTGTTCTGAAATTGCAAACTCATAGCTATTAGAATATTCCAAGTGTTAATTGAGTTACCAAGATCCGTCTAACTTAATATTTGTAATACGAGTTGACGTCTAATAGGAATGTAGTTTAATTTACTAATAACAAACTGTATATTTCTTAGTAAATAATATTTTATTTCTAACCCTACGATTAGCTCATAGGCAAAAATAATTGCAAGGTTCAACGCATTTTCTTCTTCGAACACAAACAAACAATCCTTATATTACTTTTAAGTACACTATTGGTTTTAGTAGATATAGGTGAACTTAAGCTCCTCAGATAATGGAGAAACATAAAACTCCAAATTAATCTATTTAATTTGGAAGCAGTCTATATCGTCAAGACGTTTTTTTTTTAATTTTTTTTTTTTCTTTTTTAGTTATCATATTATATTTTCAAAGGTTTTTAGGTTCAAAGAATGTTATTCTTTACTAATATGATTTTGAATTGCGATAACCGCATGCAATGTATTCTCTCTGTAAACCTAAAATGTCTTAGGGTTGCCTGGAAGAAAACGCTTGTTAGCGATAAGGCCGCCCTTAACTTATGTAACCTACTTACTTTTTCTTTTTTTTTCTTTCTATATGTATAATTATGTGTATTATGGCAATGAAGGGTAAATAAATAAATGTCTGACTGTAGACAAATCTGTAAGAGGACTCATGATTCATAAATATTAAGTACTATTACTATGGTTGAGGTAAGGTAATGACTATTCTCTATTCTCGACGCCCACATTTGTAGAAAAGATAATAAATAGTGAGTGGTATCATGTGAATATGATATTTATGACACACGGGACTCACACCCACTGATGAAATGTAGCACCTTTTATTCATATGATGCACTGTGAATTTAAATTGTTTCTTATTGTTAACTGTCATTGAATTAATGATATATTTTAGTGAGAAACTGTATAAAATATTTGAATTTTTTTGTCCAATTTGTATAGAATTTTAAGTTATATCATGGTTGATTTTTATTTATTTTTAAGTGTTATATATATATATATGTGTTGCTGTTTTTAAGTATTATTTTAGAACGAAAATAGATGGCATTTCACTCTATGCCGGTCAAAGACGCACGCGCATTTTTGCAAATACAAAATCATTTTTTCGTTAGATCACAAAACCAAACCTCTGGGACCAATATTAAAATAAATATCAACACTTAGTAAGCTGAAGAAAGAAAATGCTAAGTTACAACTAGAATTGTGTCACTCAGAATAATAAATTGGGCTAAAGGAAAATTCTCCGAATGCAATTCAACGCTAAAACTATTTCCGAATTCTGTCGCTCGATTTCAATTTAGATAATCCATTACACAACGTCGAACCTTATCTAACTAGCACACCTGTTAAAATCTACGTAATTTATGCTATTGTGTTCTCAGGACTATTGCGTTATGAAAGCCGTTTATTAAAATGGAATTTTTTATACAAGCAGTTATCTTTTGATAGTTGTTTTAATTAAAACACTTTTGTAATAATTTCTTTACATTTAAGGAAAACCCATTTAAGCCAACATTATGCTGTTAGATTAAAATCGACGTTAACGAAGAAATTACCACATTCTAGGTTTAAAGTTGCTATTTACATTTTCATTTCCCATACATTTGTTGCATATAAATGATAGTGAATCTATCTATATAGTGGACGCTATGGTTTCCAAGACAACTTATACTTCGATTGATAAACCATATTACTGTTGAATTCCCATAATCAGGGGAAGGTTTTGTTTTTGAAGTGAAACTTCTTTATCGAGGTTGGAAAAAAATTTAGTGTAAAATTTTTTCGTTACGCGTCACATTTTTCGGTTACGCGCCATGTTGCTTTTTGAAGTCAAACTTCTTTATCGGCGTTGGAATGAAACTTCTTTATCGACGTATGGGAGAAATTTTGTAGCAAATCGTCACGTTTTTCAATGATAGTAATAATTCTATTACAATT